AGCAATTAGGTAGAAGGGGGCGTGGGCCAACTACCGGGCCCGGCTCCCCGCTCCACCGACGACCCAGCTACGGAAATAAAAACGATCGACCACCGCGTCCTGAGCTCTGCTCTACCCAGGAGACAGTCATTAGGGCTGGGCCGGCCTCCCAGCCCAGACGCGGAGAGGCAACCACGCCAAGAGGCGCCTTTTCTCTACGCGGGCCGCGCGCCAGTGCCCAAAGCCTCGCTAACCCCACGAGCCGGCAAGGCAGAAGCAGCTGAGGCCCGGCAGAACAGGTCGGGCCCAGCGCGGGCCCGCGTCCCCGCACATCTAGACCGGACCGGCAAGGCAAGCAGCCCCAGGACCCTGAGGCCGGGGTCGGGCCGCAGCCGGGCGGGGATGACTATGCGCTTCGGCCGCAGCGGAATTGCGGCGCCCAGCGTCAGCGCCACGGAGCCCCCGGCCGGCCCGACGCGGCCCGCCTCGCGGCTTTACCTGCAGGTCCCAGCCGGCCGACTCGAGATAGAAGCGGGCCCGGTCCTCGTCGGCGCCCGTCACCGCCACGAATTCCCTCAGCGCATCCTGTCGCTCCGCCGCCATCTTTGCCCCGTGCGCCGTCCAAACCGCTCCGGCCGCCGCTGCCAGCCCCAGCCCAGCAGCCGCGTTCCGTCCGCCGGCCGGCCCGGCTCTGCCGCTCAGAGACCCCTGCAGGCCCCGCCCTGCGCGGTGCCCTATGCAAAGCTCTCCGTGCGGGAAACCCTTCCATTCTACGCCCTCTGTCGGCCGCGGCGCGGACCGGCAGCCTAACAGCGGAGGTAGGAGTGGAGGCGGAGAGAAGTGGGCGGGTTGTCCACGTCCGTGTGGGATGAAGGATCCCTAAAGGCAGTGGTGTCACTAGGGTTGGTGTCACCCCCCCCCGTGGACCTCCTCCCGTACCAATCCATACAGAATCCCTGCATAATACAAAAAAAAGATAAATTAGCAATATCTGGAAAAAAAAAACCCCCAAACAATAAGAAAATGTAAAAAGTAAATCCGTTGGATATGTTAGTTCTATCATATGTAAATTGATAGAATTTACACTGTTTTTTTAAACCACAATTCAAACTTAAGCCCTGAAAATTTTATTAAAATCAGCCATATATTTGGAAGACAGTGATATTTTTAAAGAAAATTAAAAAAGACTAAAATTTTAAAAACTGAATTTAAGATTTAAGTTGTATTTCTAAACGTGTACCAAGAAATATAGCATTTCCCCCACTTCATATTTTAAACAGTCAATTTCTCTATGTAGTTATCAGAGAGTTATATAATCAATAATTATTATACGTATAAGTTTATTATCAATTTTAATCGCAGAATATGTGATAAGTATAGTTGTAAATTGCTTAAATGTAATATTTCTTAGATTGTATGAATACTAAACAAAATTGTTTTATAAAGTCTTTTTACATTGAATTACAACGTTATTAGTTACAACATTATTGGTAACTGAGTGGAAGACTTTTTTAAAATTTTTCTCCTTTTCTTTTAATTACTACTTCATTCTCAAAAAAGTTATAGGTTCATAAATACTACTTAACCACAATATTGTTGTTGTTGTTAGGTGCTGTCAGTCGATTGTGATTCATAGTGACATTATGTACAATAGAAGGAAACACTGCCCGGCCCTGTGCCATCCTCACAATTGTTGTTATACTTGAGCCCATTGTGGCAGCCACTGTGCCAATCATTTCTTCGAGGGGCTTCCTCTTTTTCGCTGACTCTCTACCAAGCATGATGTCCTTCTCCAGGTCTGGTCCCTCCTGATAGCATGTCCAACGTATGTGAGACAAAGTCTCACCCTCCTCACCTTCAAGGAGCATTTCGGCTGTACTTCTTCCAAGACAGATTTGTTGGTTCTTCTGGCAGTCCATGGTACATTCAATATTCTACACCAACACCATAACCACAAGGCATTAATTCTTCTCTGGTCTTCCTTAACCATTGTCCAGCTTTCATATGCATAGGAGGCAA